GGTCAATGGGAGAGGGGGTTGCTGCAGGACGGGACAGATTTGCCAGTTTAGCTGAAGGTTGTGGAAGTGCTCTGAGCACTTCGGAGCGTCGCCGGGAGACAGGGAGGAAAACCTGTGGGGCATAGGTTTGCTTAAAGGCTCTTTGCAAATATACCTGGACACGAAGTACTGTACCAAACTGCTGCTGCTCCCGTACAGCTGACCCCCGAGCCGCGGAGCTGGCTGAGCAGCGCGGGAGACGCGCAGGCAGCGCTGAGCAGCAAAGCCTGCGGCCAGCTGGCGTGAAGGGCATTTCACGTTCCCGGTCCTGCCCCGATCTCAAAGGTGAGGATTGTCCAGCCTGCGGGAGAGGGGGCGGATACGTCACCGTTTGCAATCGAGGCAGCTCCCGTGCTGGATCGCCGCAGCAGCCCCAGGGCCGAGAGCAATCCCTGCGTTTGCTCGCCCGGCTCCTTTGCCAGGCCACGGGGACGTCTGTAGCGGGGGCCAGGGGCAGCATCAAGTGACAATCATGGGTCCTGCTTTCCGGCAAGTCCCCGCCGGCGCCCGCAGGACGAGGCATGTTGCACTCAGCTTGTCCCTCTCGGCTGGGACCCGCCGCAGCTCCCGGGGGCCAGGGTCTGCTCCCCCGGCATCTGAGCCCCCGACCGTCTTCCTTGCAGAAGGGATGGGGAACGAGGGTCTGTGAAAGATGCATTTTTCTTTGCTTAGTTTTCTGTTCCTGGGCTTTTTCTGTGTCTGTATTTTCCCGCACTAATAGCATCGTAACACCTCGTTCTGGCCTGGAGGAAACCATCCCCAGACCAAAATGTGTCTGTCTCTAGACAAAAACCAGGCTACCTCTATCCTTGGGGAACAGACACGTCTCGCCGCAGCCCGAAAGGCACTTGCAACAGTTTTCTCTCGGTAACGGAACGACAACCTTAATTCTGCTTTTCATTTGTTCTTCCCCCACTTGGGACTCGGGAAGGTGCTGTTTGCCGGCGAGGGGCAGTTCTGTTTTTACTTTCGTCAATTAAAATCTCACCCCTCGGTTTGCTTTGCCGCCCTTCGCGGCGCGTCCTCGGCCCCGCCGAGGCTCCGGCTTGCCTCTGTGCGCCGAGGCGCCGTTCCGTGAGG